CACTCTTACCCTGGCAGCAAGAAAGGAGGCAGCTACTAACAAGAGAAGAAACAAATACACATTTACCGCGACCCTCTGGTTGGAACCGGACAGCTCTTTGAATTTTGGGTCTAATTCTGCACTTTGGTCTACACTATGAGCCAAATGCTGCCCATGGTTACACCAGGGTAAACGTGGAGTAATTTCATTGACTTGAACAACAGGCAAGACTGTTAGCATCAAGCAGGTGTTTGTCAATGGACACAAAATCATAGATTAGAGTGGAATTGTTCCAGACTCATAGCAGTGTAACTGAAGGCAGAACTTGGCCTCATGCATCTTCCTTGATTCCTTGTGATATTTTATAAAATTAAGCAGTTGTTTTCTGCCTGCTTGTGTGTGTACCAATCTACCTACATTCTTCCATATCCAAACATGCACCTCTTCATGTCTGTATGTACATTAGTGACACTCCAAAAAGAAGCAGAGTACTAACAGGTTGCCATTCTTCATATGGTCGATTTTTTGTAAGTGACATCAGAATCTGTTTCATATGCATCGGTTTATAGCTAACAGACTTTTGACAGAATAACTTACATGCTTGCACCTCTTCAAATATTTAGCTAACAGGGAGCTATCTGCCTACATGTGTTTCAAAGTCTGATCCTTTAACCTGAAAAAGTTGGAAGTTTCAGAATGGGACTTCATTTAATGTCAAGACTGTCATCACAAATGGAGATAGATAAACCTCCCAACAACCTGGAGCCTCACAGATACTGAGTATAACACTGATTCACATACTTAGTCTTGGGCTGAGTTATCAAGAAGACTATTTGTGGAGTTAGCAAAAGTAGGAGACAAAGTGAAACAGAGGGAGAATAATGTGTGAGGGTTATGAAAACAGGAGGGACAAGCAAAGGGAAAACAGTGAAAATAGAAAAGGCGAGCAATGAAGAAGCAGCATTTCCCTGCTCACCAGAAGCAGAGCAAAATCCAAGGTTTTTGGTGGAAGAGAAAACAGGGAAATGCTAGAAAGATACTGGTCACTGTGTGACAGGATATAAGTTTTGTTTTTATTTTTTAAAAGTCTTAGTAACTTTCATGGACTATTGTTATGTGTACGCATCAATCAGAGAGGCCATGCTCCTCTCGGCTTCTGTGCTACAGACATCTGGCACTAACTTATGGTACATGTAGGCTGGGATTACGAGGGAAAGGAGAACTCCATAAACAGGCAGTTGATTGTTTGGATAACCAAGGAAAATGCTGCATCAGTTACAATGGGGACAACAGATAAGAACTAAGTCCACAAACTACAGAAATTTACTGAATGAATGCAGAGAGAATATGTAAATAAAAAACTATACATGAAACAGTTCAAGAACTTATAGATTGTTACTGAAGAAAACAACAATTCTACATGCAGTGCAGTGTTACTGAACACTGACTGGGGCCCAGACACTACTTGGGGCCTCTTGGTGCTACCATAATACAAATAGTGCAGGAACACCCCCATGTGAACCTTACAAACTTCCTTTGGAATACTGCCCTTGCAGGAGATCAATTTGGAGTGGGGAAACAGTGGAGGAGGGCGAGTATGAGACTTGCAAACTCTTCCAATCCTGGGGATCTGTGGGAAAAGGAAGCTGCAGAAATTGAATACTTATTAAAAGGGATTAACAGTCGATTTAAAAATCATACTTCTGCCTGCAAAATGTTCACCCTATTACTGCTTGCTAGAAGATTTACTACAGCTTACTGGAACTGAAAGAGGTTACAGAAAAAAAATATTCCACTGCATTTTCAGTTTGGTTCCTTTCAGCATATAAGAACATTTTTCATTCTTTTCTTCCGAACAGATAGTCACTCTTCCCCAATCTTTGCGTGGACCCTTCACACAGCAACTAGGGAGAGAAAACCATTTTAAAATGCAGGAAAATATGTTTGTAAAACCACAAAAATTGGGCAGGGAGGACTCATGGGCAGGTGTAAGACCTGAAACTACTTTAAATTCATTAAAAAAAAAGATTGTGAGCTGATGGTATGTACCTTTAAGTCTGCTTTCAAGTTAGGTGTGAGTTGCATAAAACAAAGTGACAATATAAGTGCTTTAACAAATGCTCAGAGTAGTTGGCTCACCCTCTTTGTTGCTGCTGGTGATGACGATGATTGAAGTATGATGAAAAATGGCAACCTTGATTTCAAATAAGTGTAATATGATATTTTATAAGAAAAGCAGAATGAAAGAACAAAGAGCCCTGTTATACAACTTAACCATTCAGCAGCCAAAGGAGAAGTTTCCACTTATATTCAAATTCCCGTGTATTTTTTATTTTTTCATGCAGAATATTCTCTTTTTGAAAAAATATATAGCTAAACTGCTTTCATATCAGTTTACTTTGCTGTAGCTTATGCCTTTCTAATGCCAGGAGATCTTGATCCTTTGACATAGACTGAAAATTGAAAGTTATCAGTTATCATGACTCTAGCTAGAGTGACTGTTTCTGAAAGCAATTAGCAACTTCATTTCTCCATCAGCTCACAAGCAAAGTGTCAAAGGTAGCTACTGAATCAGAGATGGGAAGGCACCAACGATATCTGCACACAGTAGAGTCAGTGGATTTCTGATGTTCATTATGTTGGTGTAATTAAGAATCATTGGTGGAACAGAGATCAGAATGTAGCCTGTGATGCCAGGAAATCAAGATGGACCCATTAGTAACTCAAGATACTAAAGGGAGAGCTTCCAACAGCCTTTTGAGGAAAATCATTTTCACCCTCCCAAAGCCCAGATATATAGACTAGAAATAGGAAGAGCTGAAGTTAAAAAAGAAAAGGGACAGTTTTAAATTTCTCCCATCTTTTTAGTGTGCCAAGGCTCCACTTTCAGCAAGTTTGTAGCCCTCCAGACACTTTCTATTATAAAAACTACAATACTGATCCTGTAAACACATACCTAACTTTACTCATGTGAACAGTTCCATTGACTTCAGTTCAAGTACTCATATGGGTTAAAGTTTACGGTTTGCAGAATGGGGGTCTAAACTAAGAACTGCTCAGTATTTCAGATCTGAATTTTATGACAGGAAAATGAGTTGAAGATAGAGACAAGAAACAGCTGCTAAAAGGCAAGATGAGCTTCTAGAAGATTGGAGGAAAGAGAAGGGGTTCAAATACTCCAGAAAACCAAAGAAAAAAGGAGATTTTAAATGGTTAGAAATAACAACAAACAGGAAGGGTGGGATTTTCAAAAGTCCTCAGTGTTGACCAAACATTGCTCCAACGGGGGTCAACAGCAAAACTCCCAGCAGCAATAGGCCACCGTGGAGCGCTTTTGAAAACCCCACCCTAAGTGTATTCTAAATATTAAGGAAAGTCTGTTTACAACATTATTCACACGATTCCTATCCTTCCACTAGAATCTGCCTTTCGTATCGATGGACACGTTGCATGACAACACACTAAAGCCACAATTAACAAATAGATTTATGGAGGATAGGCAAGGTAGGATTCTTAAACTTCTACTACTGATAAGAATGTACACTGTCATCGAGGTTTATGTGAAACTTCCATTTGCTTTAATGGGTATTGTACATCAGAACAAAGGCAAGATATGGCCCTTATGTGTTAGCAAATCGTTGCATATTGTAATCAAAGGGATCTGAAAAAGAAAAAGGGGGATACTGTGTATCTTGTAGGACTCCCTAAACAGCAGAGCCATCCTCTCTGCTTGCTACCATAGAAAGAAATAGTCAAAAGTGAAAAGGAAGCATTCACTGAATCAGCAACAACGACTAAATGGTACATTTCTCACACACACACCCGCCACGTTGTAAATAAAGATAACGTACGCATCTCTTCAACAACATCTAAATGTTCTCCTAATGAGTCTAGGATTCCTGATAAAGCTACTTCTAACTCCATAACACTACATATGATGCTAGCTTTGCTTATTCCGAATATAGTCAGAAGTCTGTGTTGATTTTATGCTAAACTGGTGGGTGGTCATATGTACAGCCAAAATGTCAACTTGCTTGTAATACTTATTACAAAAATCCTCATAAATATGACACTTAGCTACTGGGATCTCTAAACCTCTCAGCAATATGAAAAATAAGGGATAAAAACCAAAAATATATATCTTAAATTCTTTATGGAGCATCTTGAGAAGGAAATTAACAAATCCATACTCGCCAGTGGGGGGCAGAGAACACCACCTTCTACTTAGGGAATGGTAGTGAGTCACACACAAGGAAAGCTAACTCTTTATTCCTGACATTATTACCTTTGGGAACAGCTTGTAGACACATGATATGCCACAGACTGACCCCAGTCACATAAACGAAGAAAGTCATCTAGCTGGGCTGGAAATTTGACACATATAGCTTATTGTTGGATCCACTGGAAAAAATGTACCATTTCTATAAAAGCCCATAGCTATCTTAATGTCACTGACACCAATGCAGAATTGTTACTAAGACTCATTAATCTTAGTAGCAATGTTTATATGCTTTATAAAGTGCACACATTTTTCTGTGTGCTATGTTGTTTCTATATTGTTTGTGACTTATAGAGAGAATAATTTGAATAGCAATATTCCAGGGCAGATTAATTTCCTCAATCTTGGGAAGTTCTAAAATATAGCAAAATATTAAATTGTTCCTTTTTAGGATATTTTTTCAATAGGATCAGCTACTATAGCTAAATGTATAAAATGCAGGAACCATAACCACATTTTTTTCAGGTGAAAAGAAGGGAAAGTCATCACCCCCAACCCTGAAAAAAAGAAAAGAAAAAAAGAAAAATCCCTTTGTTTCATGAACCAGCCCATCTCTTCCTATAGTAGTTTACAGAAAGCATATTAAAATGATTGTGAAAATAGAAATACATAAAAAGAAAACTCTACAGCTGTGCAAATAAAGAGGGGGGTGGAGGAGGAGAGGAACAAGGAGTGAGTGACAGCCAGACATTCAGGAAAAGAATCATTACTACACTTGCTAGAATAAGAACTCCCTGCTTACTTGGCACAAGCCGCTAATGCACATATCCAGTGACTCAGTGTAGCATCGCGTGCCGTCAAGAACCTTGGGAGCCAGTTCCACAACAAGGGTTGTCCCTTTGGCCTGGCACTTCAGTGAACATGGGTTGTCAGGGTCATTCGAGACAGGAAGCCATTCATAAAACTGTCCCTGGTACTTGACATCATTATGAGCAGAACACTGCTGGGCCCGAAAATCACCAGCTTCTGGAGGGCAGTCCTGAAGAGGAGAAAAGGGAGAGAAAAAGAGGTCAGCTCCAAAGGGGCTAATTACATCCTTGTCAAAGGATGCACAGCTGGCAGCACTGGAGTAACACACTTAGATGTAGGAGTTTTTCACTCAGGCACACACACTGGTCAAAGTATTCCTTGCCATTTTATCTGTCAGTAGTTCACCAGACTACTATGCATTCAGGCGGTTACTGTAGCAATACTGAAAAACATCAAGGCCACTGGGAAATGTTTTAGCATAGGACAGACATGTGCTTGTCTTACCCATAAAACTTATCAGTCATGAAACGTTCTTATTAACTTTAAAACTACCTACACACATGAATCTTTAGTGAACTTTTCTTTTTCCTTTGGGGAAAAAAATCACAAATTACTCAATTCAAATGTTTGTTTGTATAAGCATTCCTAACTAGCTCCCCCCTCCCCACCCCCCAGTGACCTAAATCAGTCAGTGAAGCAACAAGAGCCAGAAAAATGCTACGTATATTTGTATTACTTCAACCTGACTAATACAGGCACAGATTTCACAATCCACAGAATCAGCAATTTTTTAGGTTTTGCTGTACAAATGTTAAAAACAAAATCCTTTGTTAAGCTCTCTAGGAAGGTTTCTGAAACATTTTGGGTGCAGACATAAATGCCCTAATTTGCAATAAATTATGTGATAAGGACTGCTAGCTGCTGACTATTCAGACCACCCAGTACAGATTTCACTTATTGGTGAATACAGATCTTATTTGAACTGCTCTCTCTGAGATAACAGTTGAATGCTTTCCATAGACAGAGATATTGTATCAGTATTGCTAAGCCTTAGCATTCAAAAATATTGAGTTGAGTCTCGTGAAATCATGAGATTCACTTAAAATCATGAGATTTCTAAAAATTGTAAAATTTGGGTTCTTTCTATTTATCATCTGCTTTTTGATCCCTTAGGGTTCACATTTTTAAGCTTTTCTCTGCAACCAGAGGGCTAAAAACTCCTCTTTTTATTAAATGGAAACAAAGAGTCTTGAATAATCACATGATTTCAGGCAGTGGGTCTACAGGTCAAACACTAAATTTCACGAGAACTGTGATAAAATAGCAAGAGTTTGCAATGCTGCTGCATTAGGATTTCAGTGGCCCTTGAGTCCTCCCTAACTCATCCTGTTTCTGCAGTCAAGGCTATTCTTCTTGGTGTTTGTTTAAGTGCTTGTTCAATGTTATATCCGTTACGTCCTTTATTTGGAGGCTATGTCTTTTATCTACTAAGGAGTATAAAAATGGACCCTGGTCTTGATTCAGTAGGTCTTTAGCATATCTAACTACAATGACCCTAGTACTCACAAAATTCTACGGTATCCTTATTAGCTTCCTGTATATCTAGTCTTGCCTTGAAGTAAACCTCTTCTCTGATGGAGATTCCAACATTTTTTGACAGCTTTGTCCAAAGAAAAGCCTTCCTGCTATTTAGCCAAAATGTGTCCTCTCTGTTTTATACCAGCACTCCCAGTTTCTTGTGCTAGCTATTTACAATACTTCCCTTGCACTTCCATTTGTTAACTCCTTGCTGGTATTTTTAAACAGTTCCAATTGCTACATTGTTCGGTAGGAAAGGTATAGTCATTGTGAGTGTTGCAGGTAAATTTTAAAACTTAAAATCTTTATGGCTTGTATTGATCAGGTTCTAAGAAATAGTATTTCTTACTTGGCAAGCTTTCAGATTGCTCTTGTCAGCAAACTGGGAGACATTTTTTATTGGTGCACTCAGGCTGCACAGAAAACAAATATTCTGTTTTGTGAAAAAATGCAATGTTTTGACATTTGTTTTTGTTCCACTTTGGAACTAGAACTAAAACTAGACCTTGCAAAAAAAAAAAGTGTTAAAAAACAAGCAAGAACAGCCAATGGCCCTGTGTTTATGGCACTTACCTGGGATGTAGGACATCTGGGTTCAAGATCCTGCTCCGCCTGATTCAGAGTAGGTTCAATCTCTCCTGTTGGAGCTATTCCACTTTGTATAAATAATTAACTATTCATTGGGCCAGAAAGAAAGACTGACACAATAGCCAAGTGGTTCGCGCACTTCCTAGGAATCCTGCAAAGCCGGGATTTGAGCCTTAGTCTCCCATATACCATGCCCACACTGGGAGGGGATGGAAGTCTTCCATGCTTAGAGTGTGAAATGAATGGTGTTCCCACAGCATACCACAGACAATAGCACAACTTTATGACAGTCGGAGGAGTGGTGGGAAAAGGGACTTTGGCTGCCCCCTACTCTAGAGTAATGTACATCCAAGTTCTAAAATGATCCTCAATCGCCCTCTCCCTGTAAGTGTAGGGGATAAGGACAAAGTGGGTCTACTGCAGAACTCAGACAACACGCAATTTCTGTTAATCCATAATGGAAGAATACAAGAACACATACTGTTATGTCTGGATGCATTTATTTTCCATTCTAAAAAAAACCCTGTAAATTTTATACACAAGTTAGTTGTGCCCTTCCTCATGCTTCTGGCAAACTGCCAATGAGGCTCTGCTTGGGGCAAAGTTTGGGCACCCTTTACCCAGACCGAACAGAACAGATTCACATTATAGGTCTAGTTCTGCCTACATAGATGTGTATCTGCAGGCAGAATTGGGCCTTTGTTATGCTTTTAAGCAAAGGTGAACAAGGCAATCAAAGTTTGATCCAAAATCTGGTTTAACTATGTGTTCACTAACTAAGGAAGGGACAATCTGTGGCCTCACTTCCTGCCACAAAAACTTACAGTGCATATCCCTCTGAATTTTCCTGTCCATAAGTGGGGAGAGTCAGGTCTAATAGCTTGGCTTATGCTTTAGCTCACAGAGCCAAGCCAGAACTCTTGTTTGGTTCTAGCTTGGCTCTGCCTTCAAAACTTCCTGGCTTGTACAGCTTTATTTTTATAAAGACAAAAGGCCCAATAAAGTGCACAACATGGAGAGTTCATAATCCTTCTTTGTACACGTTTCACTACATTTGTTTATTTGGGTTTTATTTTTAAATCAAATAAATAAAAATACATAGTCAACATAACAAGCTCTCAGGACATTGCAGGTGACCAAGACCAAATGTTAACTACTTACAGTCTTTGATCTCCCTGATCAAAATAGAACAATGGATTTAAATAGCAGAGCTAGTTTTTAAAAGACGTTTTCATGGGAAACTTCAAGCCATTCAAAGAATAAATGTAAGCACCCATACATATACTGCATAAGCATACACATACTGGAACGCACATGCAAAAGAGGGTGAGAATTTGACCCTATTGTGCAGAGAACCAGTACAAGCCATATACGCCACTTCTTTCCCATTAATGCCCTAAGTCTGGCACTAAACATGTTTGAAGGCCTTGTTTGACCCTCTTCATTGGGCTTGGGGTGAATTTTACTGCCATGTACACACACACACACACACACGTTTCTTTTGTGATTCTGCTTGGAAATGTAACCAATTAGTATCTTTTTACTTCCAAAGGGAGACCATTACGAAAAGTGACAGCCCAAATTCTTTCTTCCATTATATGGGGTACAATGAGGACACATGGAGTGAAAGTCAGTACAAAATTTGGCTCATTTTGTTTTCCCCTCATGTCCATACGTTGGGTTTTTCTTGGTAAGTATTATTATTTGTTGTTTGTATTATGGTAGAGGGCAGAGCCTCATTGTGTTGGGCATTGTGCAACCATTTAATTAAAGACAGAATACAGTCCCTGCCCCCAAGACCTTAGAGGCTAAAAATTGGTATTGTAGCTGCTGAATGAGCAAGCAAGACCAAGTCGTGATATTTGGCCACATGTTTGTTCCACCCTGTAAAATGTGATTTACTTCTAAACAATTATTACAACTTCATATAAGACAATAAGCTTTCTTTTCTTGTCTGTCACAATCTCCCTGCACCTCACTTTTTAAAATTTAAATGTCCGACCAGCAGGTTTTCAGTCAGCAGGAACCATAGGGTCTGATTTCATGATGCTTTCCCACTTCTGAAAATGCTTTGCACCAATGATTTTCTAAAAAAAGTGAAGGTCAGCTGTTGCAACTGGATGGGGTTGGAAGAGCTGGAAGATCCTCAGCTAGTGTAAACTGGCTTAGCTCCATTGCATCCCTGCAGCATCACACGGTTTTATACCGGCTAAGTATCTAGCCCTGGAAGAGTAACCTGCCAAACTGACTGAACCTGAGACGGGAGTTACTCTAGCTTAAGCACTACATTCAAATTTTAATATTTTTTAATAAAGATGGCTGTGGGTTTGTGTAGAAATAGGGCATAAAGGCCTTTCCTGGAGAATCAGAAAGAGCTGGATAAGATGGAAAGATTCATTCAACTTAAGTCTCTTTTCAGCTGCTTTCCCCTCCCTCCTCATTAAGGCTTCTCAGGGCAGGCAAAAGTCTAGTGAGTTTAAAAAAAAAAAAAGGCATCGGCTCCTGAATTAACTTTGCCTAGAATCACTCTGCTAGGTATAGAAGGCTGTTTCATGATCATCAACATGCAAAGGTTTGTGGAACATTTCTGACCAATGGAGTCAGTGCAGGATGTCTATAAACTCAGTTCATCCAGTCAGGTCGAGAATGTCTCCATCCCTGTGAAAACAGACTTCACTTTAAAGATGATCAGAAATCCCTTAGGTCTATGAAACCTACTATTTTAAAATAAACACAGAAGTTTCATCCTCATCTCTTACGCACCTAATCCTGACTGCATTATTAAGGCTTTATTCACTCCCTCCCCTCCAAATTGTTTTTTTAACCTGACCTCTTATTTGCCCCTATTGTAATTCATAAGGTCCGTGGAGTTCTGCCATAGTTGAATCCCATTCAAAACACTTTCTATTAATCAACGAGCCAGTGGAAAAGATAAGATGAATCCCAGATGTCCCTTGATGGCGATAGGTAGATCAGATTACATGGGACAAAAGAGGGTCAGGCTTTTTAAAGTTTACTTAGTGGGTGAAATGTAAAAGATCATATCTAGGCTGTTATAAGGTG